TATATTTTATGAAATAAAATATTTTAGACTAAGAAACATGTGAAGTTTCTCACTTTTTCATATTAAAAATTATTTAAAATATAAAATATTAATATATATCCATGGTTAGGTCATTCGATTTTGGTCGGTTTACAAATGGTCAAAGTGAAGCTGATCCAACTTGGTCGAATTGGGAATTTTTTGAACCAAAGCCGACATAAAATACTAGAAAACCGACCAACTCGAGTCGATTTGATCGGGTTGGTCAATTTCATAAGTTTGATGAATAAACCTAACTGAAATTAATTATTGTTATTTTTGTATTATAAAAAAATTATTAAAAATAGTATATAAAATATKWATAATTATTAATTATTTAAAAAGTTGAAAATATAAAACAATTGTATACACTTATGTGTTTCTATTAGGGTCATTTACTAGAACACACCTTAGTTTTACATATTTACTTAAACCTACCTTATAGTTTTTATTTTACTAAAACATTCCATATATTTTACAACTTATTTACTTAATCAACCTTTCATTAAAGAGTATTTGTTTTGCCATTAGACCCATGGTTTTTTATTCCAAAAATACCGTTAACAATTTTTTATATAGAAAACAAAATTGGCCAAATATAGCCAATAGAGTGGTTGCCCGTGTTTTATTAAGGGCGAAATTGGTATTTTTATTTCTATTTTCTTTTGATTAAATTTATTTAAATGAACATTAGGGTCAACATTGTCATTTTCCACTATCATCTAATAGAAGATTGGTTAAATCTGTTGCAATTTATAAGTGGTGTTTTAGTAAAATGCTAACTATAGGGTAGATTTTAGTAAATCGATGAAACTATAAGGGTATTTTAGTACATGACCCTTTCTATTATTTATCTTTCACTTAATCCCGTGCATCACACGGGTCCCCGCTATTATATGTACTAAAACACAACAGTTTAAAAATTTTCTCTTTTTTTTTGAATTATTTATTTATTTATTCCATATCATTTTTGAAACAACCAATGAGATGCTCTCCTTCCCCATAAAAAACACCGAAAACTTCCATCTCTCTCATTCCTATTTATCTCTTGAATTATCTCTCATTCCTATTTATCCTCTCCCCAACTTTGTATCTATATCTATCTAAATAAAGTGTGAATTAAAAATTTTAAAATTATTTAAATATTCTAACGAAATTTTACAATAACTTTAAAATAAAAAAAATAATATTAAAATATTTAATATTATTAATAATTTTATTTTTTTATAAAATTCACCACAAAATTATGTACTAACAATACAAATTATGATTTTCTGATTTGTTCAACTTAAATGTAATTAAAAAATAAAACATTATTTAAATATTTCAATAACTAAATATCTTAAATAACAAATATTAAAAATATCTAAATAATTATATAACAAAGTATTTAATATTATATAATAACTTTAAAATAAATAAATTTCAAATAACGAAAATTTTGAAATATTATATATATTATTTAAATATTTAATTAACTAAATATTTTAACATAAATAGATTTTAAACAATTAAAATAACAAAATTATGTAGTAAATTTAAAAAAAATCTTAAAAGTAGAAAAATAATTATAACATAATATTCAAATTAAAGATAATTTAATATTTTACAAAATCAATAACACAATTATGTAATAATAGTATAAATCATAATATATAGATTACTAAATTCAATAAATAATATTTTAAAATTTAAATAACTAAATAATATTGTAAATAACTAATTTCACTTATATCAATTAATAATTCTAGAAAATAACTTTCAAAAAATTGATATTTTTTAATAATAATTTTAAAATATTAATCTATATTTATTATATATTTATATATACTAAAATTAATGTTTATTGTATTTTTGGCTTTTGTAGGTATTGTATTTTTATTAGTTATTTGTTGTAGTTCCATTATCAATTAATTTTCAATAATTGTGTATTTTTGCTATAATTTTCAATAATTATTGGAGATTAAACTATTGTTATGTATTAGAGATTAGACTATTAATTTAGCTGAAATTAGGAGTATTCGCGGGTTGATTTGGTTTAGTTTTGGGCATTTTGGCCAACCAAATTGACCTGGTCAGGTTGGAGAGTTGGTAACTCGAAACCAACTAACCATTAGTGAAAACTGGCTAATTCGGGTTATATTAGTTTGGGTCGATTTTTGGTTTGGTTAGTTGGTTGAAAAGATTTAAACTTAAAAAATTAAATTTTAATTTTAAAAAATACAATGTCATTATTAAATAATAAATTTATGATATAAAATATTTTAGACTAAGAAATATGGGAATTTTCCCACTTTCGTGTATTAATATTAATGTGTGTGTGTGTAAAGTTGTTCCATTTTGGTCGATTTACAAATTGCTAAAACGAAACCGATCCAACCTGATCGGGTTGGGAAATTGTTGAACCAAAGCTGATCGAAAATACTAGAAAACCGACTCGTGGTTGGTTTTATCACTTTGATGAATAACCCTAGATAAAGTTAAATATTGTTATTTTTGTATTATAAAAAAATATTAAAAGTAATATATAAAATATAAATATTATTAATTGTTAAAAAAGTTAAAAATAAAGCATTTGTATACTCTTATGTTCTTCTATGATATAAATAATATTATATATTTAATATAATATATATACACATATTTAATATCCCAATTGGGTATGCCTATTAACGCCATCCCCACTCTATCCTCGCTAAGACAGTCTTCATCCCCATCCCTGACTGGTTGGGGAGGCCGACTACTCAACAATGATGGGGAAAATTGTCATCTCTACCCCTGGATTGTGAAGTGTTATAGAGCAATAAGTTTTAAGCCTAATAATCCCTAACATCTTTTTTCCGTGCATCTCGTGGGGTCATAACTCATGCAACCTTAGTAAATAACTTTCGCACCCATAAGAAGAGATGATGCATTGCCATTGATAGGGATGCAAACGGATTGGATCGAATTCGAATTAGGGTATATTCGAATCCGATCAACACTATTCATGTTGGATCTGATCGGATCTGATTGGACTCGATTTGAATTCAAATCCTATCAGTAAGTCAAATCTTTGGAACTAATCTGGTCCAACATGTTTTCTTTAAAAATAATAAATTATTAAAGAAAAATAAAATATACTAATTTAAATAAAGTAAAAACCAAAAATACAAGTATTTTTTAATTATTTTCAACATATATATACATGTTTTTATAAAAAATAAATAACATATATATATATATGTATTATATATATTTATATTTATAAATATATAATATATATCAAATCGGATCTTCTCCGATGGGTTAGGGGGATCCAAATCTGATTTGATCTGAAGATCCAAGCAGGGGTGACCCAAATTCAACCAAATAGGACCGGGTCATATCCATTTGCACCCCTAGACATTGAGGGGTCAATTAGAGCTAGGGGTGTATCTTAGCAAAAGGAATAGGTGGAGATAGTTAGAAATGATTTGAGAATTCATAATCGAAAGATTCCTTTTAACTGCCCCTATATAATTGGAATAAGGATTCATTGAATTTAAGACTAATGTATGGGCTTGGGCCCAATCTTGGCACTTGTAAGTATCTTTTATTTCAACTTTAGGCTGCCTTGTAAGTTTTTCTTTTCTTTTCTTTTCTTTTTTTTTTTTTTTTTGTACAGAAAAGAGGGGTACTAACAGAGACGGGGTAGTGAGACCCCAAAGATCTTCCTATCTAATTTTCTCGATTTCTCTTGTCTTGAGTAGAGTGGAATCTGGAGAGTAATTGTGACCCAAGTTTGCCAAAAAATCCGCCAGAAAGTTTGCCTCTCTATGGACACGAGTGAACCTGAACCTCTCCTGACTGCTTCTACATAACGCTTGAATGTCTTTAATGATTCTAGATGAGGACCATGGATGCTTGCACTTTGAATTGATGCATGCGATGGTGAGGATAGAGTATCCTTCGACAGTGAAATCTTCAAACAGTAGCTCCAATGCGCCTTGAAGAGCCTGAATGAAAGAATAGCTCCAAAACAGTCTGGCTACCCAAGCTATACTAGCCAAACCGGGATGCATCCTTGAAGTCTCCAAGGCCACAAGTAGCGTTTTCTAATACATTTGCTAGGGAGGGGGTTTGAGAATTAAAGACCACATTTTTTCTTTGCTTCCAAATGTATCAAATAATATATGCCAAATTTTCTCCTAATTCTATTGCCCCCTGGTCTTTGGATATTGTCACCCACTAGTCTATAAACCTTTCATTGGATGTAGGCCCCATTTGAGGGAGATTTAGAAGGGTTCAGATTTGATTTAAGAAAGTGCAATTCACAAATAAATGGTCAATCAATTCCATCTCCAAATTGTAAAAAGGGCAATTGGGGTCTATGTTTATGCCTACACTCGCAAGTCTTGACCTTGTGGATATTTTTCCCATACTTAAGAACCATAAGAATAGCTTCACTTTTGGCTGAATTTTCAATTTTCTAACAAAAGACTCCGCGGTCAAAACTTGTTCATTAACACTATCAATATCAGCTTGAAGCCAGGTTGCCGAATTAATAATAAATTCCCCATTGCAGCTTAGGACCCCATTTCAATTCATCATTCATATTGGTCTTTGGAATAAAATATCATTCAAGAACATTTTTTATTTTGAAAAGGATATTTGTTGGGATTCTAGAATACTTTCAACAGCATATTTGGGTTAAAAAACTCACCGACATTACTGTTAGTATTGATAATGCTAAACTTATCCAGGTTCAACAATTTAAATAAAAGACCTTTTCCAGTCCAGTTGTCCATTCAAAATAGAATATTTTCTGTTTCCCATAGTCCATCTCATACCCTTGAGGATAAGATTCCGGCTGGCTAAGTATTCCTTTCCAATTAAGGGATATATGTTGGCTTTTGAGGTAGCTTCCCATAAACTATCATGATCGTTCAAACACCTTCCAATTTTATCAATTTCCTTAAGTGTTCACTTCAATCCAATCATCATCAGTAAATTATTCCATCCACTAAAAGACAAAGCAATTATAAAACTGTCAATGTAAATATATTGTTCTCACAAAAAAATGGAAATATTGAGATCAGGATTCAGGAATTAAACTAAAAATGTAGTAATTGTGTGAGAGAGAGAGAGATTGCAAGTTCGAATAAATAGATCAGGGAACTACAGGGACACGTGAATTGTTTCCTAACAAATACACTGAAACATTTTACAGATTACAAGTCTCCTGGAACTGCATTAGCCTCCGTATCAGCGAAAAAGGTGGGGGAAAAATCTCTGCAGCAACTGCTTTGTCAGGTGCCACTCTCAGGCTCAGCAATCATTTTCATGGAAGAAATTTTTGATAAATCATAAACATGCTCTTCTGGGTAATGACCAAAATATTGGATAGTAGAAGTATCATAGTTCATAGTTTTTTTCTCAAAGTTATCAGTGCTCCAGAGCACTTCGGAGAGAAAGTGAAGGGCCTTCTTGTATTGATCCTCTAGAAATAAGGTCATGATTTAAGAACAAAACAATAACGGTTATATCATCATGGAAGTGGCGTCGAACCTTCTTGTCAATCCTCTGAAGATCCGAGAATCGCATCTCACGTTTTCTAGCTGCTTCTTGTAGAGCAGCCTTGATGAGCCTTCTAGCACTTCCCTGCGTTAATACAAAAAACTTTGTCAGCTCAAAAGGCAAAATATTCCACTACTCGTAAGTTTAGAAGAAATATGTTGGATGCATATCCGAGGAAATAAGGCATGCAACGCTCTACCACTACTCGTACACACTTCAGAACTAAAGCACAACATAAAGGATTAGGCTAACCCAGGTTGTCTAGTCTATCATCTATAATAGATACATTTAAACAGGGTTATTGCTCGCCAGGTCACTTTGATGAACCTTTAGCTATTAGACACAAGAATCCTATTTTGCAACTTGCAACCTGGTTGGCGCCCAAAAGACTTCTCCCTACAGGCCTGCACTTCCTCTTACCACTCCCTACTCACAGGGCAAAGCTTCAGCTAGAAAGCCCTTGCCACATAACCAAAATAAGACACTTACCTTGGGTCCTTTGAAAACATGGATAGTGGAACTTAGGGGAAATCCAACACAAGGCCAATGTAGACTGAGAGTGAACATGCGGCTCCAATGGACAGTTTACATTGGCCACAAAATTGTCCCATGTGGCCAACATAGGTGGAATCTTCAAAAGAGTTTCCCTACTTGAAAATAATTGTATTGCTGTAAAACTAAACCAAGCATTTCTGGAAAGATTCCTTGAAGTGCCTGTAAAAACTAGTTTATCACATTGCCAACTAGAAGATGGAAGATTCCAAGGCACAGTGACTCATTGGGTGGAGATACCGAAGAGGTTTGGACCATTTTACATTGATAGAGCTGAGATCTTGGCATTAAGGGGTACAGAGGGATCTTTGAACATTAAAAAATTAGGTGCTGTTTGGCAAGTCTTTTTTCAAAGATCTTCTGGAAGATCTGACAGCCCACAGACTGTTTGGTGGTGGTGCATTTTTCCGCATGAAGACGAGGTGAAAAAAAAAGCGAAAAGCTCCATTTGGAGCTTCCAAAAATGGGTTTCCTGCATCTTTCGGCAGTTACATCTTTTCCCAACCAAACAGAAAAAGATGAAGAAGTGGGCTGCCGGGCTTCTAAAAAGCTGACAGCTCACACAAAAAGACACACCAAACTGGGCCTTAGTTATTGAAGGGGACTCCAAATTAGTTGTGGGGTGGTTACAAACTGGGGAGGCAAAACTGCGGAGTTAATGAGTTATAATAATGAAAGGAAGAAATTAAAATGGTTCATACAAAATATGGAAATGAGAATAAGATAGGTCAAAAGGAGTGCAAACTACTTGGCTGATGCTCTTGCTAAACTATAGGTGCATAGAGATCAGTTGTAAAAAGAAGAAATGTTTCTACAAGGAGAGATGGGAGGGTTTATCTCTCATTGTTTGTATGTCATTATTGTACCCATAAGCTACTTTTATACTATTAATGATTTTTACAGTTGTTGATGAAACAAGCCCTCAACTGATTTGGAAATCATCAGTTGATAATCACATAAAGATGAACTTTCATGGCCATTCTCTAGGAAACCCAGGGCCTTCGTGAAGGCTGAAATAGGAATAGGAGCAATATTACAAGAGCTGAGAGTGGCCAAGGCACTCAAGTTAAAGAATATACTGGTGGAATGCGATTCAAAGAAAGTAGTGGGGAGGCTGAAAAGCAATGATGAATGAATGTGGAAATTTAGACGTCATGAGGGAAATTAAGCAGCTGGCTAGTGAGCTGGTGTCAAATTTCGAAATGATCCATAGATTAATAAATAGGTTGGCTGATGATATTTTAAACAAACAAGGGTAGAAATCTATACACAAGGGATGCATGGCATATTGTAAGTAATTCATTCATTCATTTGAATTTAATAAATTTTTGGGTAAATCTCTTAAACTACCCTACTATTTAGCTAATTGACATGCAATACCCCTACTGTTTAGCTATTGTCTTGCTATCCCTTAAGTTTTCTGACAATTGTCATTGCCGATAAGTGCTAACGGAAGGAAATGAAATGTCAAATTTACCCTCTACTATTCCTCAAATTATCCTCGATTTCGTTGCTCCTTATTGTAAGCGGCAACCATGACTTTTCTGGTACGTTTTCTCCTCGTGTTCTCTCCAGAGACGTAACCCCCACTGACGGTGGCCATTTCCACCACCACTTCCTCCATAATCTCCACCGCCGCCACCGCTGCCTCCATAACCCCCGTCGCCGCCACTACCTCCATAGCCCCCGCTAGCAGCACCTGCATAGCCACTACCACCGCCAGTTCCATAGTTTCCGCCACTGCCAGATCCATAGCCTCCACCACCACCTCTGAGAATGGAGGTCTGAGAATGAAGCTGTATGGGCACAACTCCCATTCTCTCTCTCTCCCTCTTTTCTGTCTAGTACATACCCAGGAAGCCATCCGAGCTGACTCGAGCATATATCATTCCATTTCCAGGGACGATTTCTGCTTTCGCTTCCAAAGCTTTGCGCTCCCAATAAATCTGATTTGAGCCTCCATCGAAGTTCATATACAAGCCATTATGGCCGTCCCCTAGTTTCATGGAGTAAAGCCCATTTGAGAAAGTCAGCTTCATGTTGGCCGTGAAATTCTAGTTCTCCACAAGTGTGTTGGATGGGAAATCAAAACACTGCCAGAGAACACACCTGAACCGTCTTGTACTTGAAGGTTGGAGTTTCTGAGCAGAACTACTTGGTCACTATATTCCCAGGTGATTTTTCCGGTACTGGGAGATTGATTCTGAAAGCACGAAGACTGATCTGATTTATTGCCCGATCTGATGGGACGGTGAAATCCCTCCGCTTGAAGACCATCCGAGCAGAAATGGCGATGTTGGGAGGTAGAGTCTGAAACGTTCTAGTCGTTGCCAGAGGAGACAACAGCGACAAATCTATCTGGGTTCATGAGGTTACCGGTCTCTGTCGTTGACGCCCTCCACAGTGAGCTCCTCTATGTGCTCCAACTTCTAGCAACACAACAAAGAATATGGTACTCACCGAAGAGATTGCCGATGTAGTCCCGTGTTTTGCCGCTGGGGACAAGGAGTCACTTTGCACAGGAACCCACCTGCTTGTTTCAAGCAAAGAAATTCAAGGTGAGGTATGATTTGATAATGAACAGATGGTTTAGGGGTCCTTCCATGATTACCCCAAGATGCCTATTTGTATCTGCCAGCTGAGGAAACGTTGTGTATGTAGCCAGAGGGATTGAGATGGGGAATCGTATGGAGATATTAAATTCTGCTGAGAAATACGACCCTGAATGAATCATGGATTCCGCTTCCGAGGATGCATCAACGGAGGAAGATGTGTTCAGGGTGTTACATGAATAACAAGTTCCACGTGATCGGAAGGCAAAATGAAAGAGGAGTTGATCTCACCTGCGGTGAGTTCTATGATGCAGATAGGAACGCACGGGAGCTAGTGCCAGACATGTTGAAGGATGCCCCTGTTTCGACATCGTGATGTCCACCCCTTGTTGTTGTTGTGAACAACGATCTCAACCATTATATATGCTTGAACAAATAGTCTGTCGGTAAGCGTTTTGGTTTTATATCACAGAGAAGTTTTTTACAACTCCCCTGTTTCTTCATTTCTCGTGGCCTTCAACATGGTCTCTCTCTCTATTCCTTGGAAATAGAGACAGACTTTAAAAAGAAAGAGCAGAGACCTGTCACAGACTCCATTTGTGAAAGAAGTTTTGGGCAGTTGCAGACAACTGCCAATCCTCCACCTCCTCTGGAAAGGACTTGGTGCCAGAAAATCCTGGCGACGCCGGCGAAAGTGGTTGAATACAGACGACGACAGTGGTGGCAATGGCGGCGGAGAGACAGGGAATGGAACAATTGCAGAGTGGTTCGCTGTAGCTGCCGCCGGGGAGAGGGATGGTGAAGAAGAAGGGAGAGGGACGAAGGGCAAAATTAGGTTTTGAAGAAAATTTATACATCACGTGGTGTCACGTGTATGAATTTCGACGGAACATTAACGGATATTAACGACAATGGAGGACTTGGACAATTGTCAAAAAACTTAAGGGTACCGCAAGACAATAGCTAAACAGTAGGGGTATTGTGTGTCAATTAGCTAAACAGAAAAACTACCTTAAAAGGAGCATCAGATTTTAAAACCATTTTAGAAGAGAAATTCCATTGGTCATCCATGTTATAGAAGAAAGATTTGGAAGTGAAAACCCCAGAAGGATCCCATAGCCAATTCCGAAAGTCACTTACATGAGGATCAGGCCATTGGTCATGTAGAAGATGTAGGAGTTCTGCCATCAAGTCCACCACCCACCCAGTCATTTAGATTCCTTCTAAGTTCTAAGCCAAAAATTCCAAAGCACTCCCATCTGATTATGTTCAAAACACTACACTTGAGCATCTCCATTCTCAAATATTAGAAACAATGCCAGAAAGAGTTCCTTTGGATGTTGATTTGCAAACCAAGGGTCTCTCTTAAAAGCTTAACCTTGGCTTGTATCTGACTCCTTTGACAAAGTCTAGGAGTGAAAACCCCAGAAGGATCCGAGAGATGCACATTTAATAATATATATCCCTTCCGTGAATGTCAAACTTCATATATATTTTATCCATGTTAGAGCCATCTCCTTGCTTTCATCTACCATGCTATCTCTTGGACCAGTTTCATTCTCAAATAACCATAGACACCGGCATGTTGTTTATCTACCATCCATAATCACATATCCTTAGATTGTGCACATGTAGGTGGCGTTTGATTGCACTTTTCAAATGTCTGAATCTGAAAACATTGCTTTTCAGACGCCACCTTCGTTTGGTATGCCCTCTTATTACTGATCTGAAATCCAATTTCAAATTTTAATCCGTAAGAGGTGGGGCGGGTCCTTAATGCACTCAGATGTAATTCAGATGTGTGTAAAAGACATTAGTATCCTCAAAGAAATTTTTTGTAAGAGGTGGGGCGGGTCCTTAATGCGCTCAGATGTAATTCAGAGGTGTGTAAAAGACATTAGTATCCTCAAAGAAATTTTAATGACATGGTTTGTCCCTCATATAACACGAAAATTTAGGTTATTCAAACCCTCTCTGCGACCTGAACAAACTTCAGTGCCATCAAGCTCACTTCGAACCCTCTCTGCGACTTGAACAAGCAGCGGTGGTTCTCTCTCTCTCGCCCTCTCTTGTCTTCCCGCCACCGCCGCTGCAACATGTAGCAGTGACAGTTCGATGAGTAATAATAACAATAATAATTAATAATAATAATAATTATTATTATTAATTATAAATTGTTTTTACTAATTATTAATTAATTTAATATTTTTATTCTACATTAATTTTACTTGTGTTATTTATTAATTATTAATTATTTTTATTAACTAATAATTTTTAATTATTTCATTAATTTCAAAAATTATTTTAATTTTTATGTGTAAATTATTAATTATTTTAATATTTTTATAGTAATTAATTATTTTTTTAATTTTAATCGTTTTATTTATTAATTAGTAATTATTAATTATTTATTTTTTATTTGTATTGTTTCAATATTATTTTGAGGTTGAAAATTATTTTTTATGAGATAATGCATATTGAACTCAACATTTTCAAATAGTATGTTCTAGGGGTAAAATAGTAAAATCAATAAATTTCAGATGGTAAAGGGTTGATCCAATAAAAACAAACTTATGGATTTAGAGCCTCTAAAAAGTAGAAAAGCACATGTGCTTCTTTTCAGATTTCAGACAAAAAAATTTTAACTTTTCAGATCTGAAATTTCAGATTTATCAAACGCCACTGTAGACAAACAAGGTCATATTAGTTTTATCAAAACCAGACCAAACAACTGTTTTAGTGACTGGCTCATAGGTTGAACAATTCCAGAATGTCTTCCAAAGCTGCTCTATATCAAAATAAGCTTAAAATGATAAATATCATGGAGCATGAATGCACGAGAGGCATTACATGTATCTGTGCTACTTCACTAGTTTGGCTAGGTTAACAATTCTGAGAATTGGGCAGCCCTAGTGTTTTAAAAGCGCAAGGCGCAAGGGCCAATTTGCGCCTGAGGTGAGAGGTGCAAGGCAAGGCGCGCGCCTTTTTGAAGCAAGGTGCAAAAATACAAAAGTTGCTAAAAAAATAAAAAAAATGTTAGAAAATAAAAAAAATAAAAAAATATTAAACTAATATTAATAAGAAATATAAACTTAAATTTTAAAATTAATGGTTTAAAAAACCTATTATATAAAATTAAAATACATAAGCATAACATGTAAAGCATATTCAAATGAAAATTTAAAAATAAAATCAAACATATAAAACATTTTCAAGCATGTAATGCCTACAATCTCTTTTTTTCCTCAATTGCATTACTTCAAGTAGCTAATGTGATGTAAAACATATTATATTCCTGATTCTATGAATCGCCTTTGTGCCACGCCCCTCGAGGCAAGCCCACAAGTCCATGTCCGGGTCTTAAATTCTTAATTCTCACACAAAAAATAATGATTTTATAATTTTAATTGCCTTTTAAGAAGATGTTTTATTAAGATGAATGAATGGACAACATTAAAAAATAGGGGTGTATCGGATCAGGCCATGGTTCAGAGGGTAGTCGGGACTTAAACCGACCCCTCTGAACCGGTTTTGAAAAAATAAATAAATAAAACACAAAAAAAACACCGATACAGGCTGATACGCCACCTGTATTGATATTTAGAACCTTGGGTTGAATTACCAATTGATGAGCTCTACAAAACTGGTACTAGTTTAAAATGTCAATGTGTTTCAAGTTATATTCCTAAACTTAACATATTCCTCAGCAAAAACTATAGGTGTTGATATACATGAGATGGTATTTTAACATAATGAGTTCAAAGATACGATACGATATGCCCCGTATCAGGCATATTGTATTGAAATTTTGAACCTTGATTTGCACATTTTGAGTTCAATCATCTAAGTCTTATCCCATCTATAAGGGGTTGGCTACATGAATCCTGTTTTACCATTCCAGTCTGTTTATTGCCATATTCATTGTCAAATTTTGAGCACTTAGGTTGTATTTGTGCTTCTTTTACCCTTTCACAAAATATTATTATACATTTCCACATTTTTCACAATGTTTCTACCATTTCTATAATTTTCTTTTTCTTTTTCTTTTTTGATAATTCACCATTTTTATAATTTTTGTACTATTTCCACCAAGACTGGGTCCCCCCACAAGAAGTGGTAAGCTTAAACTAGAACCATACTTCAATGGTAGCTCTATGGGTAACCCAGGAAGAGCTGGTATTGGGGGAATCATTAGAGACCATCAAGGTTGGTAGTTGTGATGTATTCAGGTCCAGCAGGTTTAGGAGATTCAGCCAAGGCAGAAACCATGACACTTCTACAAGGATTGAGATTATCACAGCACAACAGTATGGCCTCAAAGATTTGGAAGTTGAAGGTGATTCACAGCTAGTAATTCATTGGGCCAAGCACCTCAAAGAAGCACCTTAGAAATATAGACATGCATTTAGGGAGATTGGTGTGATTGCAAAGAAATTGAATACAAGCTTCAGCTGGGTGAGAAGAACTGCAAACAGAGAAGCAGATGCATTAGCTAAACAGGGAGTAAATAGGCAAAGTATTTTCTGGGCATACTTGTAAACAGTGTTACTGAAGAGTATTGGAATCTGCTCAACTTGAAAGTGACATTTCTTGTCTATAGACTCTAGAATTTTATTAGCAACTGCTCCTAAGCCAAACAAAACTCTCCACCACGTTCAGCTCAGGCAAAAAGTGTATAGTGGCACCTTATGGAAATAAAACATTGCAAAAAGTGATATACTAAGGAAGTTTATTGGAAGCACATTACCAGAGGGCTAGACCAAGAAGACTTGACATATACTGTTCACATCTAAGAGAATTCTCATCTATGTTGCCTAGCACTTTCATACCACTAATCCAGTGAAACCTGGAAGGACACGAGAGCAAATTATTATTATTCAAAGCCCACCAAAACTTGCATATTCAAAGCCTAAGGTTAGAGATGAATAAGTATCATAGGACCAGTGTGTCAGTCCCAATCCATGTCACTTAGAGAAGAATCTTCCACATGGCTACATGGTTTTGGAGGCACTCACATCTTCACCCTCTATTTAAGGGACAAGTTTCATTGTAAAGCTCCATTATGTGTCTCCAAAATAAACTCTCATTGCTGATGGTCTTAAATTTGAAAATTGTAACCTTGATGGCATATAGGCTGAAATTGATAAATTGAATAAAAGGCCAAAAAAGAGGGTCCTTGATCCACTGCAAAGTCCAGATCAGCCACATGGTCCCCACATAACATAAGTAAGACCATGCAGAAAAATGCCAATTGACCCAATCAAATGGAATGGATTATATGCTTGTTTTCCAAAAAAGTCCAATCTTCCACCCAGGAACTTGTGAAGGCCCTGTTCGACAAGGACTACAATAGTCATTTCATTCACTTTTTAAGACCCATTTTAAATTTCCCCAAATGTGGATATGCTTATCCAGTGGATCACCAACAGAAGGAAATGCACAGAAAGTCAACTGAGAAACAATAAACACTAGAAGAATAGCAACTGCATGATTATCAAAAGTCAAAAAACTACCAATCAAACCCACGCAACATCACATGCTGTATAAATTTAAAACAAAAGAAAATAGCATGTCTATGCAGAAAACCATGACTATGACAAGATGATAGAACTCTTACTGAATGTGGATTATTCTGGACAATATCCACAGCTCTTTCATTGCTCAAGTGCTCCCATAGACCATCAGATGCAAATATGAGGAAAGAATCATTTGGTTGGAGAGGATGAGAGATAATAGATGGATTGGCAGTCAAAATAGGCATATTCATTGGTTCAGATAGCCTGAATTTCGCATTGATTGGTTCTCTATTATACTGTGCATGCTTCATATATACATCACCTATAGATCTAGACACCTGCAGACAATAAAGTAACAGCATTAACAGCACAAATCTTTTTCTTTTTCTTTTTCTTTTGAGAAAATGTGAAGTATTGCTTTGTTTTGTAATCTTCACAAAATATACATAATACAGTTTGTGTGCAGTGAGGAACTATACAAGAAGATCTAAGATTAACAAAAAAATTGGGCTATGAAAACAGATGGGGTTTGGAAATTTATGTGAATAAAATTGCTTGTTCAAAGTAAGCATAATGAGGACATGTCTGCCCCCGACCAAGAATGAAGAGAAGCCATCACTTGTTGCAGCACCTTTTCTCTAGACTGGAATTGGTTGTCCAAGAGTGATGTTTCTTTTCTTCCAAATGTACCCAATTAACACTACAGTAATTAGTGCTCCAAAGAGTTTCTACCCCATCTCTTGTTATTAGTGCTCCAAAGAGTTTCCACCCAATCTCTTAAGGCCCTTCAAAACATACAATTCAGAAAGGACCAAGATCAAGAAAACTCTATGGATGGATAGAAATAAAAACGAGCATGCAAAGGAATGGGGCCCTTGTTATATTAAAATCAAGAACGTTCTTTATATTTCTGATAGATAGGTGAAGCTTTGTTGGTCTTTATATTTGACCAGTAAGATTGCATCCATCGCATTGAGACCAAAATGACTAGTCATCACATCAACAACATAAGGCATTTTACAAATTACAACTTAAACAGATGGCTTGACTAAGAGTTGTTTGTGCAGTCTAATATGCACTAATTATATTGTTCTTTTAATTTCTAATCATCTTTAGACACACCTCACTTATCAAGTTAACTTTCCAGAGTTAAAAACTTCAGGAGACTACACAGCACTCCAAGTTTCAATCAAACATATCTGATATAATCCAATCTAATTTTAGTTTTGAAAGGATTGGCAAGTTAATCATTTTTTAATCTTTTTTCCATGAAATGCTGAAGTGGCCTCGCTCTTTACAATCATTTACTGAGGAAACAATAAGCTAAAATCTCCATAAGAAGGCTGGTCAATAGTAATGATGAATATATTCAGGTATAAAGACACGCTATTTTGGGATGTCATTTCTAAACTTTGACTGTTGTTCCTTAGAGAATACAAATTTGCATGGGATTGGCAGAACTATCAGAGATGATATGACAAACATCTTATTAACCTTTTTAGGTCCAGTAGGCTTTGGGTGTCACTGAAGAAATCGGTCCTTTGACTCAAGAACAAAGACTGAAAAGGTGCCAAGCCAAATCAAACTTTGATAAACTAGCACTGAAAGATGAGATTAGGTGGAGACAAAGAGCCAAAACAACCTGGCTGAAGATGGTGATAAAAACACTAGTTTCTTTCACAAGATGGCTAATGCCCGGAACAGAGTTAAAGAAATTAGCAGGTTGGAGTGTGAGGGGAGAGTGGGAGAGTCAGTTGCTGAAATCAAAGTCATTGCTTCTTCATTCTACAAGCAGCTTTATGAGGAACCCTCGGCCATTAGACCTCTTCCTCTCCATACCCCTTTCAAAAAACTAACAGGTGAGCAAAAAGCTTCCCTAGAAAGGCCGTTCACAGAGGAAGAAGTTAAGAAAGTGATTAGCAGAATGGAAACAGATAAATCTCCTGGTCCAGATGGTTTGACAAATCTGTTCTATATCTTATGAATGTGTTTCAGACCTTTTCATAGAAGTTCCTCTCTGCAAAGAAGCCTGAACTCCACCTTTATTACCCTCATCCCTAAAGTTGCCGGGGCTCGGGGGCTGTGAATCTAAAGGACTTTAGGCCTATAAGCCTTCTCAACAGTTTTTATAGAATTCTGGCATAAGTCTTGGCAGAGAGGTTGAAAAAGGTTTTGCCCAATGTGATTTCTGGGAACCAAGGTGCCTCCATCCCAAGTAGACAAATGTTGGTGGATAGTGTGCTTATCGCAAATGAGCTAATTGACTCTAGAAGAAGGGATGGTAAACCTATTCTGGTGTGTAAATTGGATATTCAGAAAGCGTATGATCATGTAAACTGGAGATGCCTCAATTTGGTTATTGGGAGAAAACTGGATGAAAGTTTGTGTTTCTTCCCCAAAGTTTTCAGTTTCTGATCAATGGGCAAGTGACGAGCTTCTTTGAAAGTTTTAGAGGGATTAGGCAAGGGGATCCCCTCTCCCCCCTGCTTTTTATTTGTCTCATGGAAGTGTTTTCTCAGTTCAGCAAGTTGGCCGTTGCAGAAGGTTTGTGGGATGGTTTTGAGATCTCTCCAGGAGGGGAGAAGGTTCATCTTCTCCAGTTTGCTGATGACCCCTTGTGCTTTATTGATGCTTCCCCAGATCAGCTTGAATCTATGCTTGGCATCCCATATTGGTTTGAGGCTGTGTCAGGGCTTAAAGTAAACTTAGGGAAAAGTGTGATTTTTCCTGTTGGACAAGTTGAAAATCTGGAGGAGATGGCTGAGATTTTGGCTTGTCAGGTGAATCATCTCCTAGGGAAATATTTGGTGCTCCATCTTGGACCTAAATGCACCTCCTCTGCTATCTGGGATCCAGTGGTAGAGAGAATGGAGAAGAAGCTGGCTTCATTGAAGGCTAAATACCTCTCTTCAGGGGGGTAGAGTGATCCTGTTAAAAAGTACTTTATCAAACCTTCCTACATACTTTCTTTCCCTCTTTCCTATCCCCTCCAAGGTATCCAAGAAGTTAGAACCTTTTCAAAGGAATTTCATGTGGAGAGGTTGGGAAGAGGACAAGAAAATTCATCTGGTTAACTGGGACCAGGTTTGTTTGCCTGTGGAAGGAGGCCTGGGAGTGAGAAAGCTTAAGACCTTTAATTTTGCTCTCTTGAGTAAGTGGATTTGGAGATTTGGCTTTGAAAGAGATGCTTGGTGGAGGTCTCTTATAGCTGGCTAAATTTGGTGTGGATTGGGGTAATTGGAAATCTTTGGATCCTTTTCAGCCTTGGGGTTGTTCCCTGTGGAAGGGCATTATAAAAGCTTTCCCTTCATTCTAGAAGGTTTGGAGTACAAAATTGGGGATGGCAATAGGTTGAAATTCTAGAAAGACCTCTGGTGCTTGAATATTCCCCTTGCCGAGGCTTTTCCTAACCTCTTTCAGTGTGCCTTAAATCCTGATTCTTCAGATTCTGAGTCCTATGATTGGGTGCAAGGTTCAGCTGTTTGGTGTCCCCTCTTTAGACGGAACCTCTATGATTGGGAATTGGAGCAGCTGCTGGAGCTGTTACAGCTGTTGCAAAGCCAGCTTATTTCTGCAAATGTGGAAGATGAGTGGAGGTGGATATGAAGTGGAGATGGCTGTTTTTCACTTAAGTCTATGGCTGATAAGCTAAGTTAAGGCAGCAACATTGGCTTCCCTAGTAAGCAGGTGTGGGATACTACCAGACCCTCTAAGGCTAATTTTCTTGTCTGGGTGCTGGCTTTAAATGTCTCTCAAAAATTAATCTGATTAGGCATGGGGTTCAGATTTCAGATCTGAACTGTGGCCTTCGTGGTCTGGTGCCTGAATCTGGGGATCATCTCTGCATTCACTGTCCTGTGTCTGCTAAACTGTGGGAGCACTTCATTCAGGCGGCTGGCATTAGCTGGGTTATGCCCCGGTCTGTCAAGGATGTTCTGTGCAATTGGAAGTTATCTGGTCTGAGTTGGAAAGGGAAGTTGATCTGGAAAACAATTCCTGCAGTCATCTTAGTATCTCAGTGGTCTGAAAGGAATAGCCAAGTGTTCTGCAACAAAGCCAGAGCTTCTGAAGACCTCTTACAGTTACAGTTGCAGTCAACAGACTTGCTTCTTGGTTATCTGTTGTTTCAGAATTTAAAAACCAGAATGTATTTCAGCTTCTTAACTCTCACTCTATTTGGGTTCTGTAAGCTGTTTTTCTTCGCAGTGAATTGTTGTAGTTCTTTCCTCTATCATCAATAAAATTTTTACCTTACCTTTTCAAAAAAAGAAATTATGCTATTGTTGTTTATGCCCTGCTATTCTACCTTTTGAACGGTAGGAGACTATCTTCAATTTAATGAAATTCAAGTTACTGTTGATTATCAAAGAATGGCAATTTGTAATTACAAATGATGAATATAGTGAGATATAAACACAAGCTATTTTGGGAAGTGGTTTCTAAATTTTGTTGACTGTTGCTTAGAGAATCCATGTTTTTCTGAGATGGGCACAGCTATCGATATGATATGGGAAGCATCTTATTAAGTTTTTGGGTCCAGTAAGCTTCGGGGCATCACTCAAGTATTTATGCTGTTATTTTTTATACCCTGATATTCTGCTTTTTGAACACAGGAAGGCAGCTTTCAATCTAATGAAATTTACATTATTATTGACTATAAAAAAAAAAAGCCATGAAAAAAAATAACTTTTGGATAATGCAACCTATGATAGTAGCAACAGAATCAGATGAATGATGAATATTGGTTATCAAAAAGGGAATGGGAAGAAAATATAGACAAAGCACCTGAATAATGCCTTTTACCCTCCAAACTCCATGCTTAAGAACAACTATTTGAGGGTCATTTGGGTGAGAATCTCTAAGCTCTTGTCTCACAGCCTCCAAGTTAGCGTTGTGTTCAGTTGACAACTGTATAGCAGCAACACCGCCAGTGTTACCAACTTTCTTCCCAAGTACAACACGGGAATCTCCAAGGTTTGCCACATAGAGTGTCCTCTGACAGATCACTCCAACTAAACAGCACGCCCCAACTGTTGCCATATGTGGTTGGCTGTTCCATAGCTCAGAAACAAGTGCAGTAAATCCTTCCTCTGTTTGAAGAAAGGCTCTTCGGATGGTCTCACATGTCACACCCTGGGCCTCAGCTGATCTCTCTGCAGAAACACAATTCCTGTGGATTCAGAATGACATGATTTTATCTTTAATAGCCACTGAAGTAACAGAAATTAAAGAAAGAAGAAGAACAAGAAACAGAAGCAAAGTAATAGAAATTAAGACTGAAAAGAAAAAATGGCGCCACAGCGCATCAGACCAAGTTCTAAGACAAAGGATTGAGAAGGGTATTGCTTTGATAAGTTAGGGTTCTAAATGGTACAGGACCAAAAAAAAAGGATTTGGCAGCAAAGGTGTCCTGTCTTCATGTTTAAGTCTACTCCATCTTCTCCTTAATTCTCATTGTTAGCAAACAAGGTAAACATCATGGGCGATGCCCAGAGCTTCAAATATACAAAGATTACCTGGACATTTTTTAAGTCTACCAAAGGGTCAGTTTCCTCGGCATTTTTAAGAGTACGGATGAATAGACCGTCTAATTGTCTATTGATTTCCCAAACACTTACGAATTCAGGGATATTGGATAATCTCCCGAGACTGGTCAAACTGTCAATTACCCTAGATGCAACATTGCTTTTGAATCATCCTCTACGGATTTGTCAGTACCTGTGAAAGTGCAATTCTCAGCTCCATTTGAGTCTTTAACCTAAACCCCAGATTATCTTTAAGATTTGTCGGTGCAAAAGTAGAAACAACAAACAATTCCAAATCCAATATCAAGATTTCAGGAAAACTATTAAACCCGAGATCACTGAGAAACGGTGGCCATTCGCAAGAATTACGTAAGAACTAGAGGCAAAAGAAAATCGTGGGGAAGTTAATTAGATTCTGGCATGCATTCATATTTAGCCAATCTTTACACTGTATGGCATTCAAGCTTGTAAGTCTCTCGTTAAAGCAGAGAGGCTTTGCAAAGTGGCATAAGGTGCAATTAATTATATAAAAAAAAAAGACAGGATTTCAAAGTGTGGCCAATTTATCGAATTAATCAATCAAATGTCTGTGGATGACACAAAATGATGAACTCAACAGCTTGATGGAATTTCAGTTCTAACTTGTCTAGGAGAGAGGAGAGCATAGCAAATACCTTGAAAATTACGGAAGAGGTGATCGCAAACGTAACGAGCAGCGTCGGGACCTCCATGACCATCGTAGACACCGACGAAGGCACCGAAAGGACCAGACTCGATCTGGCTCTGGTCTTCGAGGACTTGGTTGGCCTGGATAACGGCCATGGAGAAATCACCAAATGCATAGCGACCGAGGTCACGAAACCAGAGCAAACCATCTCTGCCCTCAACACCACCATCAACAACATTGACGCCAAAAGGCTTCCAACAGAGAGACAAGACTTTCATCCAAGTTCCAAGCATCCCACATCTCTCAAAAGAAGACCTATCTCTCCTACTCCGGACCCCGACAAGGGAGGGGGAGATTGTTGCTGTACAGACTTTATAGCAGGACAAGATGAGATGAGGGAGGAGGGGGCGAGGGGGATGGGAATTAGGAATTGGGAAGGGAAGGACTTACTGCAAATCGAGACAAAGCGCCCTAGTTTTGAGGGGTGGAAGGGTGCGCAGGTTAAGGGGCGGGATAGGGCGCAGGTTAAGAGAGGGATGGGGGTTGTTCGGTGGAAGAGGAACAGGGATGTGATCGTTTCATTCTGAGGAGATGATGGCGTGGGGAAGCTTTCCCTTTTGTAACGTTGGGTTGGGTTCACTTTTCAAAAATGTCTTTTACCAAACGACGCCCTTCTCCTCTCTCTCTCTCTCTTTCCTTTTATTTTTCCGGCTTTACTTTTTCTTTTATTATTTATCTTCTCTTTTGTAATACTTACCAAATGTGATAAGACATCTTTCACGTACTGAACGGGAGTGCAGCTGTGCAGGCCAAAGTGCAGGAGATCCGGAGTTTCTTTTTTTTGATAAGTGAGATCCGGAGTTTCTTTCACTCGCTTACTGTGTCTTTCATCCGAATCGCCCTCGGTAAAAAAAATCAGAATTGCTCCAATGCAATCGAACCGAAATTTAGGTTTCGGTTTAATCGGTTTTTCGATTAGTTTCGATTTTATTATTCGGTAATTTTGTATTTCGGTTTTTGGTTTCGATTATCATAGTTGATAAATCGGTTAACGGAAAAAACCGATTCAATTTTATTATATTATAATTATAAAAAGTTATATATTTTTAATATAATTTATAATTTTATATTAATATTTAATATATTATGTAATATATATCATTACTTCATTTAATGCCAAGTTTCCCAAAAAAATTAAAATTCAAAAGAGTGAAAGACAAGTAAACTATTGAGCATTGGCTGGCCAATCGTCTCTCACTCCCTCAGTCTCTCTAGTTTCTCTCTAAAGACTCTAATCTCTATGTATTTAGAAAGAATAGGCTGGCCACTGGCCTTCTGTGCTGTTGCCACCTACTGGGTGAGGGGCTGACCAGCTGAGGGCGTCTTCCCTATCCTGTTGAGTGACTACTGACCGCTAAGTGTCGTGGCTGCCAGCCGCCACTATGTCTGCTTTGCCTCTACCGCCTGCCGCTAAGGGTGAGGGCATCTTCTTATTCTTCTTCTCTGTTTTTGATAGAACATATGAGGTTTGACTTAATTTCGGTTTTAACCAAAATAACAAAAAAAATTGATTTGGTTTAATCAGTTTTTACATATTTCAGTTTTGGTTTGGTTTTGAACAAAAAAAAAAAACGACTGCTCACCTCTATGCTCAGTCATCACTCGTCAAATAAGAAAGTAGGTCAGACCATCCATGATCCACCATTTGATGGATTTTATTCCTGCTAGATCGAGGTCATTTGGATGGGTGTTCATGGTCCGATTTGGTTTGGTTTGGTTTGAAGAAGATTTTAGATCAAAACAGTAAATTATGATTTAAGAAATCTTCAAATCAAACAGACTCATAAGTATGGAATTAGATTAAACCGTTTTATTATAGTTTGGTTTGGTTTCAAATACAAGCCTAAATAACATGCATGTTTACATAAATAACAAATATAATTCAAATATAAAACCTAAATGATTACAAGTGTCACTTGTTACTATTAAATAAATTACATTTACATTTATTCAAATATAAACAAGTTAAAAATTGTTAAATCAATAAAAATAATATAGAAATTGTTAAATAAATATATATATATATATATATATATACATATATATGTTTAAACAAATGTATCATATATATTAATAAATATATTATTAATAATTCAATTTAATATTGTTTATGCTTTGATCTGATTTCTAAAATTTAGAAAACCAAACCAAATTAAACTAAAAAAAAATTGCAGTCCTCCTACCTGACCAAATTGCCAATTGTTGTTTGGTTCTGTGTGATTTGATGGTTTAAACGATATAATGAACACCCCTTGTGATTTGTGGTTACATGTCGTCACCATCATTAACCTGGTCCTTACTAAGGGTGTCAACGGTATTTAAAAATCCCATTTTGAATTCGAGATTTGACATAATCAAATTGAATTCGGACAAATTCGAATATATAATCAATCGAATTTGGATATGATCTGATTAGATTCGATAAATATTCAAATTTGACTGATTATTTAATTCTTATATATAATATAAAATATTTAAATATTTTATATAATTTATATATAATAATTAAATTATATAAATAATTTATATATTTATATAAATTAAATATTCATTTTATACATTTATTCATTACCTAAAATAATTAATTGGATGAATTTGAATCAAATCGAATATTAGAATATTTAATCGAATACAAATTCGAATATTAATTTATGGATATCGAATTTTCTAATCGGAGGTTTGAGTGCAAGCCCGGGTCTAAGGTTAGACCATTAATATAGATGTTAAGCCCAGTCACGGCTCGCCCTGGGCTGACCCATGACTACCCCTACTTGTGCCTGTGTTAATTTCAACTTCATTGGATGATACATTTAACCAGTATTCACTTTCTCACCAATTAATTGATTGATGGTAAGATATCGAGAGAATCGGTGATCTAAATTGAAGCTTGGAGATCCAGCGATTAATAGTGTAATGTGCTTCCTTGTAGGAATGCAACTTGGGCTGGTGGGTTAGCTAATCCAACTTCATTTTCAATCACTAAGGAATTCACAACCTCCCTAAAATTTTGTTCACTAAAAGATAAAACGATAAGTTTTTCAATTTAGCATCTTCAACTGTTATCAAACAGTCCCTAAGCCTGCCCTGAGAAGAAAAAAACAAGATTAGGTTTAAGCTGGGGGTAAAAATTATATGCATCCAAACTTTAACTTTAGATTCAATAGTGTTGGGGCTTTAAGCAACCTAAGGCATCATAACTTTGTCTTTGTTGCTAATGCCAAAATTGGTCAATGACAGTTGATGAATCCTATTTCTAAGAAATGAGAACATTTTTTAAGCAAAAACAAATGAAATTTTGGGTCAATAAAGCCCACTTTGAGGAACCTGAATCTCCTGCAATCAAAAGCTCTGATCACATAGCATCCAGTTGCATTTTGGGAATATCTTTCCTACATGTATGTTAAATGCATGGGGAGATGTTCTCATTGTGTGGCTGGCCTATTGCTATGTTTTTAGATGTCTATAGAGTTTTTTTGCTTGTAGGGAATCTGGTTCCAATTTGAACGTTGGTGCTTAACAATATGGTTGAGATAGGGTTTGATTTCAAATCTGAACTAAACCAGCCCAACTTGAACCCTTACACATTTGTGCAATCTGACCCAATCCAACCTCAACTTCAGTGTTTGGGACTATTAAGGTTGTGCCTAGTTTCATGGGCATTTATTGAAAAAATGCCACTACATAGGCGTTGACGTTTATTGCAGATGAACCAAAATGAAACAATTGTTTGGTTTCACCGTTTATCAAATAAATAGTAGAAAACTGAAACGCTTTGATTTTTGTGCATGGGGCATTTGGGAAAACATCAAATTCTTGTTTCCTCCAACGTCCCAGTGTTTCTTGAAACCAAATGCTAATATGACACACTTTAATGGGTATTAATCTGAGGTAGAGAGTAAAAAAAACGTTTAAAATGAAGCCCAACCAAACAACAAAAGCATGATACATTTAAGTAAAAAACATTTAAAGTGAAAAAGTACAAGCAAACGGTCTATCCATAAACTCCAATGGAACCAAACACATACTAAATCATCTATCCAATTGGGTAGTTGGTACATGACATCGTACAAACATGGGATGGGACTAGAGCCACCGGACATTAAAGGTGTCATTGTCATTGTTCCTCTTTACTAGGGGTGGAGATTTAATCCTATCTGGTCGAATGGGTTGAAGACAACTCTATAGCTTCGCTTCCTAGACGGGTTGGCAGATGGAAGAGTCTGTTAGATAGTTATGCCCTTAGCTCCAATCAGATTGATGTATCTTTTGACATTTATTGTAAATGAATAAAGTACATAATTGATTCATGTCATTGTGGTGTGTTTCTATGTAATACCCTTAAACTGGACACTTATGAGATTGTGTTAGTTTAGAATCTTCACAACCGTTGGATAGATCTTGGGAGATTTATTCTGCCAAGGCTGACACTGATGTGCCGCCAAGTTGGTTGGGGTGGCTTGTCTCAGCTACCAGGGTGAGACCTGAGGTACATGCAGTGTGGGTTTTCTTGAAACCCTGAACCGGAACAAAATTCCAGTATTGCCCTGGACCTTGGAGATAAATGGGTAAAACTGGAAAGTTACACTTGACCCCTAGACTCGATTATGGTACTGCACTAGGTGCCGGATCGGGTTGTCTTTGATATGCCAATCAGTGAGATCCTTAGAGGGGGTCAAAACCTGTGTATGTTGGGACAGTCCAAGAATTCATCCGAGTGGGTGATCATAGTGACAGGGTCAGCCCCTTTGTCGGACAAAGTGAATGATCGGAGAATGCACTCTCTCTGATGGAAACCTAAACTACTAGCAATTGATTTCAAACATTGAGATTTGTTTTTGCAAAATAAATTTATATAGAGATATACATACAAACATACATACATACATACATACATACACACATACACACACACACACACACACACACACACACACACA